CAGGCGCTCACCAGGGCTTACAGATTGGTGCAAGGAGCCTAGGCAGGCTTCTGAACCATCCTCTGGGTGACTGGTACAGGACACAACCTGTGCAACTGTACATAGCAGCCCTGTGATGAAAGAGGAGACCAGCTTTGGACATTGTGAGCTGGAAGCAGAGTTTGCTCTGCCAGGTTTGCCAGACCACCCAAGGCCAGGGTCAGAGTCGAGGGCAGCAGGAAGAGAGACTGAGTCAGCCTCTTCCCAGAAGTGGCAGCAAATCTGTCAAAGAGAAACGTGCCTTTTTCTAATACCTCCAAAAGCCTCAGAAGCACGGCTCCCCGTCTGCCTCTGTTTTGCTCGCCCCTGCTCCCCTCGGTCTGTCTCTCTCTGGTAGACGTGATTTAAATTCATGGCAACAGGCAGACACTGTGCTCCGCTAGCTGGGGTTTCAAAATGGCCAGAGCGCCGCTCACACCACAGCCACCTGAACCAGCCTCTGATTGGCCGGCTGGTTGCCCAGGCAACGCGACCCTAGCTTCCTGTCTCACCGACTCCGGCGCTCAGCATCACCGTCTCTACCCTGGGCGACACCTCCGCGTATGAAAGCTCTCTAATTAACTGTGGTTCAGAGTCGTCGTCATTGTCACCCAGAGGAGGACCTGAAAGCCCTGGGGACTCACAGCCACCTCTCAGAGGCCAGCCGGCAAACAGTCCTGGCCTCTCCTCGCATTTTGGACCATTGGGAATTTATAGCCAACGGTTGCTGCTGCTGAGTTTCTAAGGAAACGGCTCCAAGCTGCCTCCTGGCCTCCCCCGGGCGGGGGTCCCCTGCGTCTTCTGAGGCGCTAGCTCACTGGGAATGGTCATGTCTTGGAGGGGAGAATCATGGTCTTAGTCCATTCAGGGTGCTGGCACAAAGTACCCCAGGCTGGGCAGCTTGTAAAGAATTGATTTCTCCCGGGTCTGAGGCTGGAAGCCTGAGATGGAGGCACCGGCAGGTTTGGATCTGGTGAGGACTCGCCTCCCCCTAGACGCACAAGGCAGAGGGGTGGGGGTCTCTCTGGCCCCTCGGACAAGGGCACTAATTGCACTGAGGAGGGCTGCACCCTCATGACCGAGTCAGTCCCCAGGCCCCGCCTCCTCACCTCCACCTGTGCAGGATCTGAACATGGCATTGGGAGGGACAGGTGACACACGCACGTCATTGCTAAAGGTCCCTCAGCTGTTAGACGTGTCCAGGGAGGACGTGGTCCTTGTCTCCTTAAGGCCAGGTGCTGGGGAGGCAGAGGAAGGAGGGGCGGGAAGAAGGGCCGGCAGGGCGTCAGCTTGAGCAGGGCCCCTAACCTAGGTGCAGGACGTGAATGGGGGACATACGACATTTTTATTTGCACCAGCCTGTAGCCAGGGCATGTGGGCAGCAAGACAAGGACGTGTGCAGTGCTGTGACTTGGACAGTGACAACCACGCCCTTCACACTGCGTGCCCCTGCGGAGCGTCACACTGTCTCCCCTGGGGACCACCAGCCCCTGGTCCGCCCACGCACTGTCCTGGTCTGGTTATGCCCTGCACTGCTGGGGTTCAGGTGCTTCCTAACGGCACTTCGGTGTGCGCAGGGTCTCCGTCCCTGTACGTAGAAGCACCTTCCAGAATAAGGCTCCACAGACTGCCAAAGAGGCCGTGATCGCAGCTGACTAAGGACCCAGAAGTGCACCCGACACTCAGGTTCACTCTTATCCACGTGACTCACGGGAGTCGGTGGCTGGTGTCTCAGGGAGAGCCAGACCTTTACCCAGCGACAGACCAAACAGATGCAAAGTCCTGCAGGTACGAAGGGACATTCACAGACAGCCACGTAGTGTCTCTCTCTATCTGCCCACGCGCGCACGCGCGCACACACACACACACACAGGCACGCATGCAGGAACAGACAGAGAGGCTTATTTGCAAAGAAAATCAAGGATGTCGACATTTACTTACCTCTTCTTTTGGCCATTCTGGTCCTCCCTCTAAGTGATGCAGAGAGACAGACACAGGTTAGCACTGGCACTGAAACCGGGCGGCTCGGCGGCACAGCCATCACCTAGCAGGATGCCGAGGGCCTGGGTTCCACCCCAGCCCTGCAGAATCAGTAAGTTAAATGATCAACAAGACAAGAAGCGAGAACCGATGAGGCTGAACTGGGTTTCCTAGTGGGAAAAACATACTTCAGACTCTGCCAGGCACAGCGGTATGCACCGCAGCCCAGCACTGGGGAGGCTGAGGCAGGAGGATCAGTCGAGTTGAGACCAGCCGGAGCAGCAGAGCGAGACCCCCACCTCAAATATAAATAAATAATTTACCAAGTTCAAGACCCGAGAATGACACGGTGGGCTCACTGCCGACCACAGAAGGCCCAGGCTTGTAACTTAGAACCTAATCCTGTCTCAACCGGTTCTCCCAAAGGAATGACGCGAAGCAGGAGCGACTGAGCCGTCCACCGTGAACCGAGCCCATACAGAGTCCCAGCGCCAGGGTCCAGGGTTCTACACTCGACTTCATTTCACCTTTGGGTGCAAACGTGCAGGGGGTGCCTCCTCCGGGGGCCTTGGAAGCGGCAGCTCATCGAGCCCCCGGCAATGCTGTGACCGGTGCCAGCCTCGGCCTCGGTTCCCCTCGGAAGAGCTGAGGCGGGAGGAGGGTGGTCACTGCGTGGAGCTCCTGCGGCGTGGGCCTCCCAGCCCCCACGCCCGCCTGCCAAGGCCCCGGTCCCTCTCAGGCTGGCCTAACGCTGAGTCCTGACACAGCTCAGGGTGGGACCACAGCCGGGGCCGTGAGGAGGAGGCCGCAGCCCCACCGTCGCCCCTGCCAGCCACGGTTCAGGTGAGGACAGACTCTGAGAGTTAAGGGGTGGGTGAGCTGCGTGCGCCGGGCTTCTTAGGAGACCCTCGGAGTAGCCCACCACCCTGCGCAGTAGTGGAGGGTGACCAGGAAAGGGGCACCCGCTCTTCTGCCTGGCTTGCTCGGCCTTCATCCTGCAGAGGCCGGCTCTTGGTCCGGTGGTGAGTCAACACCAGATAGCAGCCCGGGAGCCCATCTCACTGCGCATCTTCCCTCGGGTGCTCCCCGCCTGCCACCTGCCCCAGCACGCCTGTCGTTTGCAAGCAAGGCTGCTACTCAGCATTTACCACTCAGGGCCGTCCCTAGAGCCGCTGACTCAGCGAGTCCCTCTGCGCGGCCGTGGGATCTGCTGGAGACGTCATCGCACCTGGTGCTGGGAAAGCCGGGCCGTGGGTCTCGGTGACTTGCCGGCTCCCCTGCCGTTGGAGCCCAGCTCAGCCCTGCCGTGCCTCCTGGTCCCCCAGAAGGAAGGCTGTGGGGCTTCTTTGTAAACATCACTATTAACCTGAACCAGCTCGGGCACCCGGAAACACTCACGTGAACAGGGTAACAGAGCTCCACCACCCACAGGGCTTCCCCGTTGGCCTTCGCCATCAGCCCCAGGTGGGCCCGGGACCGGCGCTGCACTGCGCTCCGAGCCGGTGGATTTATGCCTGATCCCACTTCTTTATAGGTGATTCCAGATAAAATCAGACATGAACTTCATAGAAAGGAAGGGGGACACGGCCTGCTGAACACGGGGGTTCGCTGTGCTGTGAGGGTTCCGGAGGACGCGTAGGACACCACCATTGGAAGGCACTTCCTGGTCCCAAGTAGGTACATGTGTCACTCAAGAGGGATGGCATTGCAGAGGCTCTGTCCCCAGGCACTCGGCTTGGCCTCCCACACCCAGCTCCCCGACACCAAGACCAGAGAAGCTTGTCCCTCAGAGCCTCGGTCTCCCCCGTCACCAGAGTGTGTGTGCAGAGCCCTGCTCGTGGCTGGCTCTGGCTGGCACGCAGCCAGTCAGGACACCCCCCACAGTGGCCCTGGTGTTAGGAGGTCAGCGTGGGGACCCGGCCAGGAGTCACGTGGGCCCAACCAGGGTTCCCCGAGGGAGCGTCCAGAGCGTCATCTGGGACCTCTAGGACCGTGTCCTTTGTTTCCCAACGTGGTGGGCAGAAGGGACTCAGAGAAGTCCACGTCCTGATCCGGGGACCCATGAATAAGTTCCGTCACCAGGACGGAGGGCTGTGGGGATGGAGTGGTGTTTCTTTTTAGGAAAAGGGAACTGCTCAGCACCTGCTGCGGGGCCAGCCTAATCTCACCAGGTCTCCGGAGCAGAGAACCTTCTAGGTCTGGAAGCAGAGGGGGAGCCTGGGAAGTTCCAGAAGGCCAGCCCCTTGCCAGCTCCACAGAGGCCACACGCAAGGACCAGCCAGAGGCCCCGGATGCCCAGGAGAGTCCAGCTGGCAGCTGGCAGGGACACAGGCACCTGCAGCCACCGGAACTAGGGTCTGGGTGGCCTGGGAGAGCGCAGAGTGGGCTCTGCTAGCGCCTCCTGGTTAGAGCCCAGCTGGGCCACAGCAGGACTTCCACCCGAGATCACAGCAGAGGCGGCCGCTGACTCTGTCAGCCTGGTGCCTGGGGAGGGCCCACGACCCACCCGGCCATCTTGGGCCAGGCCCTCCCTCCTCCCTCCGCCCCAGACCCAGGCACCCCCTTCCCAGGGCCCCTGCACCTGCTGTCCACCTGGGCCCTCTTGCCCCCGCTGACCTCTTCCCTCTGTCCTCTCAGTAAGCCCAGCCATGCCCTGTCAGGCCCCGACCCTCAGTCCCGCCTTATTTCTGTAATTTAGCAAACATACATTCAGGATCTGGCTCTTCTATTAACCAGTGGCTCTCACCTGGCAGTACTGTTGTCCCCTCCCCTAGATACAGGTGACAATGCCTGGAGGCATCTTTAGCATCATGACTGGGGGTCAGGACCAGGAAAGGACCCGGGATGCTGACCCGCTTTCTACAGTGCGCAGGACAGCCCACCCCAAGGCATGGCCCAGCCCCGACGTCAGCAGCAGTGACCGACCGTGAACTGTCTAAACTCTCAGCTCTGCGGGACACCCACTTCCTCTCGCTCTGTGTGCTGGCCCCTGGAAAGGACAGAGCCTGGCACGTAGTTGGCACTCCCCAGATCCGTCTGGATGGGGAGCGTGTGGAAGGTCACTTCCTAGGACCAGCCAGCGCTCGCCCCTCCATCCCAGCTGCTCAGTGGTTACCCATCACCACCTCCTCCTTCCCCAAACTCACAGAAGCAGGACCAGACTTCTGCTTCCGCTCTGAGGCCCTTGGGGGACTCTGTCCCCTTCTGTCCTCCTGAGCCGAGTCTGCCTCTGGCCTCCTGCTGTGGATGGTGAGACCCTGCTCTTCCTGTGGGCAGGTTCCCTCCTCTCCCCAGCCAGGCCCTCCCTTCCCTCCCGGCGTCCTGATGTGGAAGAAAACCCTGTGAGTCCATCTGGTGCAGTGACCTGGGCTGACATTTCATTCTCTCAGGCCCCTCGAGGCCTGGGGTCGGTGGAGTGCGACTGACACAAGCTGCTTTAGCAAAGCAAGTGAATGGGGCGGCCCTGGAGTCCCTCCAGAGGAGCCCGCTGGCCGGCGGCCTGCTGAGCCGCCAACCCCAGGGAGAGCGGAGAGAGACGGGAGCCGCGATTCTCAAATAAGACTCTCTCCCAGAAACTAATGTTCTGGAAAACTCTTTCTAATTAGCCATTAATTGGTACATCAGCAGCACCGTGTGCTGAGGATTAAGTGGGTAATTCCCATTACTTGCAGGAGCACTGCGATGCGTCCAGTCAGCCGGGCAGTGAGCAGCCTCCTGTGCCCGACGCCGCCCGCCAGCCCAGGCCTGAGCAGCTGCGGCCCACGGTGCAGCCCTTGCTCGGTGGAGCCTCGGCCCTCACCTCCCCAGCAGCCTCCAGACACGTGTCCGCCTGCAGCTGATTCTCCTTTCCGACTTCTTGGGCGGACAGTTTTGGAGACTGCTTCATTGCGTATGTCCCCGTCTCCCGCTCAGGAAGCTCGTGTGGGCGCCTCTTGGTCACTCGAGGTGCCACTGTGGGTGATTTTCGCTGTGCTCGTTGGTTCTATAGCACCACTTATTTTAAACAGCTCTGATCCAGCTCTTAATCAGAGCATTTTATGATACTGTCATTACAAAAAGCCCTGGACTTTATTCTCCATTAAAAAGATCATCAAGTCACCTTAAAGTCTGGTCCATCGACTCGGGTGGAGACTCTGTGTCTGTCTGTTTGTCGGATGGTTCCAGCCTGGAGTCTGAGTCTTGGGTCACAATCCTCGTTCTCCTTCTGTTGGCTTGGCCTGTAGGACACTCCTGGCCACTCGAGGGCTGTGGCTTCTTCTCGGTGGGGAGGCTGTGCTGGACACAGGGCCCTGGGGCAGGGAGGGGAGGGACGGGGATGGTGCTGAGCAGGGCCGTGAGCAGATGGGCCCAGCATTCCTGTGGGCCACTGGCACCAGGAAGGGCAGCACATGGCCGGGAGGACCTCGGGCAGAACTCGGGCCGCACGTCTGGGACATCTTCGGTGGAGGGAAGAGGCGGAGAGAGGCTGGAAAGAGCCGTGTGTGGGGAGTGTTGGGAATCACAAGCCCTTGACCTCTCCAGACTGGAAATCCCTTCTCCCCTCAGGGGGCTCAGAAACCCGACCCCGAGGAGCAGGGACAGCTGAGCCAGCGCTGGCTCTGTGTCCACTGTGTCCTCTGCCCAGCTTGGCCACTGTGGGGAAAGGAGAGCGGGATGTGAGCCTGCACAGACCAGACGGGGTGGAGATGCACTCGCTGTTGGGCCAGTTCAGACAGCAGCGTGGGTAAAGGGCCTGTGGCGCAGTGCTCGGCCTCCTGGGAAGGAGGCAGGGCAGGGGGCTCCCGGACATCGCTCCTGCCCTGCTTTTTTCTGCTCCTCCCACTTGGGGGTCCTTACCCTGAGAAGACCTCCCACTGGCCCTGGGGACAGGCTGACGCAAGCTCTGCCTTCGTCGTACTGACGGGCTTCTGCCTGCAGTCGGTGTGGTGCCCGTGGCCCTGGGCAGCTCCCGGGCAGGCCGCCCTCTATTGTAGCCCAGAACGGAAAGTGCAAGGAGGGACTGGCACGCTCTGCCCGCCAGGACCAGCTTGGCCGCGAGTGTCAGAAGCACCCGATGGTGCTGGTGGAAGGGGTCTCCTCTTCCCCCCAGTCTGGCTCAAGTGCCCCAGCTCCTCTCCACCAAGTCCTGGCTCTGCCTGTCCTTCCACGGAGCCACCCTGGGTGTCCTTGTCTCCTGGTTCAAGATGGCAGCCCAGCCCCACACCGACCGCAGGCAGCAGGAGCAGTCCGGGAGGACTCCATTGCTGTCCCCCACGTCCTCCCAGCTGCAGGGCAGGAGGGAAATGTACCTTCCTCCTGGGTGGCCGTGGACCCCGAGAGGAGTCCTGCTCCGTGGAAGGCCTGGGAGACGTGGCCACTCCCTGCAGGAGAGCGGCAGCTCTGTTTCCAGAAATCACGCCGACCTGGGGTCACCTTCCTGTGGCCTCTCCCTGGGGCCAGGCCATCCACAGGAAGATGAGAACCATGGTAGGACTCCCCCAGTGGCCGGTGTTCCCCGGGGCCAGAAGGTGGGTGGGCAGCCATGATGTCTCTCCACGGAGCCCTGGGTGCTGCTGGCCAGGGAAAGGAGTCTCCCTTCTGCGTGCGTCTCCACAACAGAAGCCTCACGGCCTGGGTGACCACCTGCTCTGCCAGGGGACCTCACTCTGCCACCCAGATCTGTGATCAGCCCAGAGGTGGCTAACCTGAGTGGGAACTGAAATGGAGCTCAGGATGAGAGGCCAGATCTTACCTGGAGGTGCTACTAGATGTAGGAGCTACTCGGAACCCTGTGGCCACTATATGCAGAAAATGAGTCTAAGAATAAAGTTATGCAGAGTAGACAGAGCTGAGTTGGGAGCAAGACAGCCCCATGACATTGTTCAGATCCTGGATCTAGCTGGACCTGAAGCCCCTTTTTCTCTCTCTCTGCCCTTTCCTTTTTTTTTTTTAATTTTTTTAGTCATTGATAGACCTTTATTTTATTTATTTATACACAATGCTGAGAATCAAACCCAGTGCCTCACACATGCCAGGCAAGTGCACTACCACTGAGCCCCAGCCCCAGCCCTATTTCTTTCTTCTTAATCCAATCGGAGCTCAATTCCTGTTGAAGGAGTCCCGAGTATTTTGAAAAATAACCAGAAAGAATTATTCAATTCTATGAAACCCTGGTAGCTATGGACCTAGTCAGTCTTGATTTTATTTAATTTCTATGAATTGAGTAAGGTGATTTCTAATCTAAAATGCGTATTTGCTCAGCCTGAAAGTAGAGAATAAATCCAGATGCAGACTTTATTCCAAACTGGAATCCTGAGGCACAGTCTGGCGTCTGAGGCGGGGACAAGTACCGTATTGACTTAAGCAGGGACAGTGACATGGGGCACCTTTTCCCGTGTGGGCACGCCCTGTGCCGACCCTGAAGCCCTGGGGGGCCTGGCGCGGGCTGTTGGACACAGGCGCCTGGTTCTTTCACCTGGTTTGCCTGGGGGACAGCGTGGAGATGGCAGCACCTGAGCCCCGGTGACGCATCCGCTCCCCCAGCGTCTCCAGGCCTCCGGCAGAGCCAGAGTCCCTGAAGGGAAGCCGGGGACCAGGGTCGGGGGCGAGGCTGGCCTGGACTCTCAGCTGGGATCACCCCTCGGGAGTCGTCGTGGAAACCTTCCCGGTGAGGGCCTCCTTCCATCCACGCCCGTGGGCGGTGTTGATGATGAAAATCCGCCACCCGTGGAGCCACTCGGGTCACAGCAAAGGAAACCTCAAGAGGACAAGGGATCCGAGCTCGAGGTGAGGAGGAGCCCTGTCCGGGGCCTCTCCAGGCCGGGCACCAGCTGTGGTCCCGCGGGGAGCTGGAGGCGCGGGGACGGCCGTCTGACGGGTGATTCTGCTTCGGACCTTGGAGTGGTCCCGGGCCTCACTCCGCGTCTTCTCCGTCTGCCTGGAGGATGTTCTGCTCCACGTGACTCTCGGTGCCATTGGTGACCACAGGACAACAGCAGGCCTGGTCAATGGAAAGCTGCCTTGGTGGGAGGAAAACCTCCCAGGGACAGCAGGTCCCCACGCGGGGTGGGACCAGGTGGCGTGTGGACACACAGGCGCCCGGGGTCCCCGTGGGCATCGGTGGTTTCGGAAGAAGCTCGAGTAAACACCCCTGGGACAGCCTCATCCCACAGATGAGTCACTCGTGTGACCCGGGAAAGGAGGGGCACCCAGCACCACGGACGTTGTCAGCGTACTGTGGCCCAGTGCTGAGGTGACACGGGGTCGACGTGCCCTGCCTGATGGGTCGGGGACAGTCGGGGCGCTGCTGGGGCCTGGCCTGCTGTGTACACAGGTCTGTAGGTCTCTGTTAAAGGTCTCTGCTTGGACGCCCACGTGTGTGTGTGTGTGTGTGTGTGTGTGTGTGTGTGTGTGTGTGCGCTTTCCAGTCTCTGGGCTGTTTGAGGAGAACCCAGCTGATTGCCACGGGCCCCCGAGTTGGCTCCCAGCTCTGAACTAGGAGCCAGATGGCAGCTGCGCCGGACCGAGGCCTGGAGCCTGCGGCAGTCTCCGGTTGATGGCAGATGTCGGCTGAGGTTCCGCGGCTTCCTGGAGCCCCACGCGGCCTGAGCCCGGCCCAGCTCTATCCATAAATCCCACTGAACTCCAGGGCTGGTGGCTCTTCTCTCACTTCTTCTCACTGTGAGCAAACAGCAGCTGGGGACAGTGGCCTGGGAACAGAGTCGGGCTGACCCTGGACCTCAGGCCTCCGGGCTGTCCCGGCCACAGAGCGTCACACCTGCCACCATCACCTGGGGACCTCGTGACTCTGGAGGCCTCAGGTGAGGAGGCGGAGGGTGTGGGGAGGCTGAGGACAAAGGTTGCCTCTGTGCGGCCACCAGGAGTTCTCGGGGCTTGTCCTGCTTCAGCCTGGCCCTCGGAAACCCAGCTCCAGGTCCCTGCCAGCTCCTGGTCACCGTTCCCCTGAGGACCCAAACCCAGGGTGGGTGCCAGTCCCCTCCACCAAGGGAAGCAGCAGAGGTGCAGGCAAGCTGCATAGCAGCCACCGCAGGACCTGCCCTGCCAGCTCCGGAGACCCGCTCAGCTTGCGTCGTCTACCAAGGGTCATCTCGAGGTTGTGGACTCCCAGGAAAACGGACATAGAGTGGCACTGTGGCCACCCAAGGGAAGGGTGGCGAGGGACAGCCAAACCTGTTCCCACCTCGCCAGGGGACTCCTCGGGGTCCTGGAGGAAAGCCTGGGGCTCAGATCTGCCGCCACCTGCCACCTCTTCTCCCCCAGGTTCAGGTCACATAAACTCAAGGCGTCTTAGCCAGCAACCCCGGGTGTTCCATGAGTTCACCGTGTGGCGCCAGCTTCACGTCCACGTCGTTCCAAAGCAGTGCCAGCCCCGAGCAGAAGCGAGCTCATCCAGCATCGGCCCACCCCCTCCCACAGCCCTGCACGGCCTTGGCTGCGTCTGCTGTGCGGAGTGACCTGCCCCCGGAGTTTCACACACGTGACGGTGTCCTGTGGGCAGTGCCTGTGCGCCTCTCCCCTTTCCCTCAGCACCACGTATCGAGGCCCTTCCGTAGTGCACCAAGTATCAGAACTTGATCATCTTACGGCCGAATCATCACAGTCGGCGTGTTCTGTGCACAGTCAGCGTCACTCACTGACACAGAGTCGTTCTGAGAAGTGGGTCACTGGCTCATTTCACAGTGGCACAGACACCGTAGGGTGCCCTGGCATAAACCTCCAGGGTGGCCTCCACGCACCTGGGCCTGGGAGGACCTGTTTCTCCCAGGCCACACACCTGTGCAGCAGGCACCGTAATGAACACCACCGGCATCTGGGACACCGTGTGATGTGTGACGTCACCAGGCAGTAGGGAATTTCACCACCATCCTACAGGCATCTTACGCGCTATGTGTCATTCCCCAAAAGGTTGTCATGAGGCGTGGGACAGCGTTGTATGCTAAGAGCACATTTGTGTCCCCATCGGAACCACCTGGCTCTCACCTTTGGGTACCAGGAATCACTGCTTCCGTGGACATTCCTGGGTAGGTATTGGCTGCCCTGCTTGCAATTCCTTGGAATCACTGTGCAGAGATGTGTCAACTGTCAGCACCGTCTCCCGCT